CCCCCCCCCCCCCCCCCCCTTGTTGCCATGGTCACCCTGTTTGTGTATAAATAGATCTTCAGCCTCCTCTGCCTTCAGCAGGGTTTAGTTTCAGGAGCAGCTGCTCTCAGACAGACAGACAGACAGGTGGTAGGTGAGACAGGTGGAGGACAGACGGACAGATAATGGACAGACAGGCAGACAGACAGGAGGTGTGGTTGAAATGATGGAATGAATTTAAATGTCTGTTTTGAATGGAACCCCTTTGATCACTGATGTTGATCCTGTTAGACGTCCTGAAGCGGATGCAGATCTGGTTCTGGGGCTTCCTGGTGGTCCAGAGGTTTGGGGTGATGATCGCTATCGTCCCGTGTCCTCTGTCCCGTGTCCACTGTAATGAACCCTCTGCTAGTTATAATATATATCATAATGTACTGTGATGTATTATTATTATACAGGGCTGAAACAAACGCTCATTTTCATTATCGATAAATCTGCAATTTATTTACAGGATTAATCCATTTAAATTTGACCAAAAACCCTAAAAACTAAATATTTTCAGTTTACTATCACGCAAAGAAAAACTGACCCAGAAAATATGATTTTCATTGTAAAGATATTTGCTACTCGATGATGCATGATAGACTCATTCAGCTCTCATGTGAACGTGCGTGTTGTCGTACTTTATATGTACAACGTACTCAACTTGAAACCTCTCATCACAGGTTCACAGGTGTGTCTGCTTCGTACGGAGCGAGGTCATGGTTTCACCTGCGAGGTCATGGTTTCACCTGCGACCTCGTGGACTCATCAGCTGTGTGTTGTGTCAACAGGCGAGGATAGCGTTCCTTCAGGGGGAGAGGAAAGGTCAGGAGAACCTGAAGAACGACCTGGTCAGAAGAATCAAAATGTTAGAATACGCTTTAAAACAGGAAAGGTAAGAAATGAATATCTTAATATCAATACAATGATTTATCTGACTGAAGGTCTGCTGTGGTGCGTTCATGTGCTGCTGGGAAACTTCTCTTCTCAATATATAGATATTCATATTTATATTATATTGTTTTCCTCAGAGCAAAATACCACAAGTTAAAATATGGAACGGAGTTGAACCAAGGAGAGATGAAGATGCCAAGCTTTGAATCAGGTCAGTGATGTGAAAGAAACGCAGAAAGATCTTCTTCTCCTTCTCCTTCCTCTTCCTCTTCTCCTCAATGTTTGAAATACTTTTTTTCTGTCCTGACACCTGAACTCATCCAGTTTTCTTTTGGGTTTTTGTTTTTTGGAGAACTTTAATCTCCAGGAGGTTTCTAGAACGTTCCGGTTCTGATGGATCCGCTCGTATTGATCAGTATATTTCCTCTTTCTCAGACACCAAAGACTCCGAGGTCTCTGCTGTTCCCGCCAACAGTCAGCTCACTTGGAAACAAGGGAGACAACTCCTCCGACAGTAAGAGCCCCAGAGTTCACTCCTTCATTCATCTAAAGGTCTTTGTTCATGTAGACGATGCTGCTGAGACAGCGTCGGAAATACACGAGGGCAAAGGGCAAAACTGCCCCTAAGAAATATAATTTTGCCCCTGATATCACTAGGAGAGGGGCAAAAAATGCCCCCGAACTTTCTAAACGAATAAATAAATGGAGCGCGTCTTAATCAGACCTGTGACTGCGAGACTGCGGTCAACTCAGCAGACACTTACATGTTAGTGCACCTATATGCTGACATTCACGGTAAACGCATTCAAACGGCACAGCTCAGGAGCGAGCGAAGGACTTTGCAAGTTAGCGGAAAGATTAACGTGAGACAACATCCGGTTTCTTCAGACGAACATCCGGTTTTCAGAATAAGATGCCAACAAAGTATGAATTATATTCACATTAAGTATAAAACATGCTGCATCTCGTGAGTTAAAGGGAAAATACACCTAAATTGTGTGTAAAGTGTCTTTATTCTTTGATTTGAGGGTTGCTAATGAATAACACCTGACTGACAGTCAATTAAGATATTTTACTAAGTAAAAACTCTGAACTGAACTTCAAATGGCACATTTTTTAAATTTTTAAGGTGCTATAAAGATATCCTTCTCAATAATTCCATACAATGACTAATGCCTATGTAATCAAGGCATCGTTGACTTAATAATTGTTAATAGTTGTTTAAAAAATTGAATAATAACAATAAATAACCACAAATAAATAAGAATAAAATTGAATATGATTTTTTGTTCAAAAAATCTAAGAAAACACTTTGAATCTGTAGACTACTGCCTAATAGTCTTATTATTGCCATTTGATGACAATTGCGCATATTCTGTAAGCCTAATTAAGTATATTTATTATTTTGAACAAAGGTTAAATGTTATTTCACAAGTTTCAAAAAGTGCCCCCAATTTCTTTTAAATGCCCTGGATCTCAGTCAGTGGGGGCAAAAATTGCCCCCTAAAAAATATGTAAATTTCCTACCCTGTGCTGAGAGAACCTGGAGAACCAGGATCAGACGTGTCATCTTTAATACCATGAGTCTCTGGACAACAATCATCTTAATCAATTCTTTTTTTAAAGTTATTTATTTAATTACAGTAAATAAAATATATTTTCATGTTTTTTACTTTTGTTCGGACAAAACGAGACATTTGATGGCGTCGCCTGAAGGACCAAAAAACAATAATGTCTTTATTTATGAAGCACCTTAAACTAAAAGATCAATTTAAACCCCGATGAGACCGAAGAATACATTAGAACCAGCTCATACCATAAGAACAAACAATAATAATATATAGAATATAAGTGTGTGTGTGTGTGTGTTCAGGTACCTGCAGGAAGTAGGATACACGGACACCATCCTGGACGTTCGTACTCAGAGGGTTCGCTCTCTGCTCGGCCTGTCGGGCTCCGAGCAGAACGGTTCTGTGGAGAACAAGAACCTGCAGCACCTGATCAACGGGACGGAGCGCCGCAAGGATGGCAAGAGGTACACACATACGGAGACACGCACGCGCAGACGGAGACACGCACGCGCAGACGGAGACACGCACGTGCGCGCAGACACAGGCGGAGGCACACGCACACACAGGCGGAGGCACACACAGACACACCTCTCTGTTTGTTTCCAGGAGTCCAGGTGACGTTCTGGAGACGTTCAACTTCCTGGAGAACGCAGAGGACAGCGACGAAGACGAGGATGAGGAGGGAGACCTGATGGACGACATCAGCACGGACAAACACCACCGAGCCAAGAAACACAAGACCAAGGTACACTCACACACTCCTCCCTCCTCTCCTCTTTCCTTCTCCTCTCCTTGACCTCTTCCTCCTCTTCCAGGTGGGGAATGAGGGCTTGGCGTCGGAGGACGACGCCGACACAGAGGAGGCTCTGAAGGAGTTTGACTTCCTGGTGACGGCGGAGGACGGAGAGGGAGCGGGCGAGGCTCGGAGCTCCGGAGACGGGACGGAGTGGGGTGAGAGACACGGGACGTTGTGGTTTAACTGGAGTCAAGAGACCCTGTTAGAGGAAGTGGTCCAGCACAGACCAGACCAGACCAGCACAGACCAGACCACAAGGTTTTACTCTGAAAAACAGCCTCAAAAAACAATAATCAGTTTGAATCAGCCGATCAGATAGAAAAGAGTTGTTACTTCTGAAGGGACATCTGGTGATCTGTTATTCAAAAGTTCTCTTAAAAATTGTATACAAATTTCTAATTTAGATTTGATAGTCAAGGATTAGTTTTATTATTGATGAGGCTGCTGATTATTTTCTGTGTCAAGTTTGCAGGTTAAATGTCAGAACCACCTCTAAGATACATCCTCATCAACATCATGACGTCATAATTCACCTTCATCCTCATTTTACTGAGAGCTTGAACGCATCACAGTGTAACTCAATGTAACGTTATTTAATGGGACTTTTGCTGCTAACAGCTGATGCTAACAGTAACAATGTGATTAAAGGATTCTCATCCTCATTTTAACAGTGAAATAACACACAGAGAAGCGGAACACTTCTCCCAATTCAGTGATTGTTTGAGCTTTTTAATTACCAGACGAGGTGATGAATGCTACACGTTTGCTTTGATTTACTTCATTTTATATATCAGTTGTGTGTGTTACATCATCTGTTTGATCGTCCTGTGAGGTGGAGTGATTATTATTTTCTGTAGACCCTTGAATATTCTGCTGTGGGGTTCATGTTGTATCTGTAGTTTGTTTAAGTGTATATTCATATTGTTAAGTTAACGTCTGCTTGTGTCTCCTCAGCGGAGCCCCTCCCCTTTCCTCCCGGGGGGGGGAAGTCCTTCCTGTTGGGCTCAGACGACGTGTTGGAGAGCGTGTTGGGTTTGGGCGACCTCGCCGACCTCACCGTCACCAACGACGAGACGGACTACAGCTACGACGTAAGACGCGCTCGACGATTTGGGACGCGTTCACGGGCGCGGTTTGAAGTCGGGACACTTATCGGTCGTTTTCTTGTTTGGCCCTCCAGCTGCCGTCCAATAAGGAGTCTTCGTTCAGGAAGACGTGGAACCCAAAGTACACGCTGAGGAGCCACTTCGACGGGGTTCGAGCGCTCGCCTTCCACCCGGTGGAGCCGTGTCTGGTCACCGTGTCAGAGGACCAGACACTGAAACTGTGGAACCTCACCAAGACCGTCCCTGCCAAAAAGTACACACACACACTTCTAATCACACACCTGTACCCGCACACACACACA